TGAGTTAATGTGGAGGAAATCAGTTAGGAATGGCCACGGAAAACCTGTAGTTACTAGTCAAAAGTTATAGTCCCAGTTCTTAGCAACAGAACTACCAGAAATTTATTTAGATGATCCTGGAAACAAGACAGACACAGAAGGGCTAAGATTAGTTCTGTACACATCCTAACTCAGAAATGAGGCAAACAAAGGAGAGACCACAGAAGACTTGAGAACTGGTTGCAATACTGAATGTATCTCCCCTATCCCACACAGGGAACAATTAGCAGAGGGTAGAAGGTCTACAGACTCAAAAGTGTTTGATGTCAACCTCTGTTTAAACAATGGCTGACTACTAAACTATATAGAGACAGAGGCTACCCCTAGGGAGCCAGGATAAAAACTGAAATAAAGAATTTAAAAAACTGAGCGGAGACACCACAGGGACAACAGATTCCACAGTTTGAGTCCAGGCAAGATCATAAATTTAAAAAAAGAAGAAAGAAACCTTAGATACAAAACATAACCAAGAATTGCTACAATATATTACCTAAAATGTCTAATTTTCAGCCAAAAATTATTAGACATGCAAAAAACAGACAAGCATGAAACACACTAAAGGGAAAAAAAAGCAGTCATTAATGATAACTGAGTCTATATGGACCTAGATGTTGGATTAACAAAGACTTCAATAGGGTATTAAACATGCTTATAGAATTAAAGGTAAATATGTTAAAAATGAATCAAAATAGGAAATCTATATAACTATAAAAAGAACCAAATTTAAATTCTAGAGTTAAAAAGCATAATTACTGAAATTAAAAATAAAAATGGGCTCACCAGCAAATATGAGATAGCAAAGAATCATTGATTTAAAGACATATCAATAGAAAGTATCCAAAGAATAAAAAAGATTGAAAAAATGAACAGATCAGAAACCAACATATGTGTAATGAGAGTCAGAGGAGGAAAAAAAGAAAAAGGAGAAAAAAACTTTTGAGTAACAGCCTAAAAGTTCCCAAATTTGATTAAAAACAGTAACATTCAGATGCAAACAGCTCACCAAATCCCTAGTAGAATAAATACAAAGAGAATCTAGAAACACCAGAGTCAAAATGATAAGACTAAAAAAATCTTCAAAGGAGCCACAGAAAAATGATTCACCACACAGAAAATTAACAAAGGACTTACAAAAAATGATGGACAAAGGCAATGGAAAAACAAAGTCAATGTGCTCAAACAACAAAAAACTATAAACCTAAAATTATCAAGTGAAACTATCATTCAGAAATGAAGTCAAAATAAAAGCATTCCCAGAAACACAAAAATTAAGAGAATATGTTGCTAATAGGCTTACCCTGTAAAAGGTACTAAAGTTCTTCAGGCTGGAAGGAAAAATGCCAGGTAGTATGTTAGTTACACAGGAAGGAATGAAGAATACCAAAGACAGTAAATATAAAAGATTGTATATGTTTTCTCTCTCTTCTTAAAAAGAGGATAATTCAAAACAAAAATTATAACAAAATTGTTGGAATATATATACAGTCAAATATATGCATATTATAATGTAATTTATACAATGACATAGTATAAATTAGAAGGGGAAAGAAGTGAAGCTAAAAAAATGCAAAACTGATAAATTTTACTGAAATGAAGTCAGTAGTAACCTGCCAGAGACTGAGAAAAACTTAAGATGAATACAGAAATCTCTATAGCAACCACTAAAATAACTCAAAATACAAATTCGTAAGATTTAAAATGGTACACTATAAAGACTGCTAACCCAAAATAAAACAGGTAGAAACAACTATAATAACAAAACCCCTTAAGACATATAGAAAACAGAACAGCAAACATAAATTCGATCTTACCAATATTTACATTAAATAAGTGGATTACATATTCCAATCAAAAGGCAGAACCTATTACACTGGATTTTAAAAACTCAAGATCCAACTATGTGCTTTCTATAAGAGACACATCTTAAATTAAAAGACATAATAATGTTAAAAGGACAGAAAAAGATACATCAGACAAATGGTATAAGACAGCTGAAGTAGCTATATTAACATCAGACAAAATAAACTTTAAAATGAAAAATATTACTAAAAGGTATTTCATAATGATAAATAGTTCAACAGTAAAACAATGATAAATGAATATGAACCTAATAATAGAATCAAAATAGATGAAGCAAAAATTGACATATAAAAAAAATAAATATTTAATAGGTAGAATCAGAGGCATCAATACTCCTTCATCAGTAATGGAAAGAAAAACTACACAAAAATCGTTAAGTATATGGAAGACTTAACACTATCAACAGACATAGAATACCCCACCCAACAGCAATAGAATACACATTTGTTTCTAACACAAGGAACATTCTCAAAGATAGACCACATTGTTGATCATAAATAGTATCAATAAATGTTAAAGGATTCAAAGTGTACAAAGTATGTTTTCTGCATACATCAGAGGCTAACAAGTCACTCACAGGCTGAATATAGATTACTGCATTTTGTATATAAAGTTTTATTGCAATATAACCACATTTATTCATTTACTTATTGTCTACTGATGCTTTCATGTTTCAGCTGCAGAACTGAGTAGTTGCAATGTAAACCATATGGCTGCAAAAGCTAAAACTGCAGAAAAACTCAGCAAATCTCCAAATTAGTTCAGAAAAAACATATCTGGAAAAACCCCAAATATTCACAATTTACAAGAAACACTTCCAAATAACCCATTGGTCAATGAGGACCTTACAAGAAAAAATTTTAAATATCTTGAATTAAATGACATATCAAAGTGAAGCTTTAAGTGGCTGAATTAGAAAGGAAGAAAATTCTAAAATAATCTAAACATTCATCTTAAGAAGCTAGAAAAAAAAGGGCAAATCAAACCCAAAGTAGAATACACTAAATTATAAAGATTTGTTTATTTATGAGAGAGAGGGAGAGAAGAAAAGAAAGAAGGAGATGGAGAGGGAGAAGGAGAGAAGCAGAGACCCTGCTGAGCACGGAGCCCAGACCAATGAGGAGCTCGATCTACAACCCTGAGATCATGACCTGAGCTGAAACCAAGACTCCCAACGCTGGACCGATTAAACCACCCAGGGTGCCCCAGAATGCACTAAATCATAAAGATGAGATCAAAAATGAATGGAATAGAAATACAAAGAGAAAAATCAATGAAACTAAAATTAACTATTTTGTAAGAACAACAAAATGATAAAACCTTAGCAAAAAATGACCCAAAAAAAGGAAAAAAAAGAAATAATTATAGAGCAAAATTTGTGCTTCAGATACTGTACTATTTTTATATTAATTTATGTGTATTTTAAGATTTTATGTCAAATCTCAAAAAAGCTTTTGAAAGAGAAAATATTATAAATTTCAAGAAAATCAAGGTGAAAATTTAGAAATAGGCAAATTCTTCAAAAATTAGCTTACCAAAACTAAAGAGATAAGAAATCTGGATATTCTGGTACTTATTAAAGAAGTCAAAGCCATAATTAAAAAATCTCTCCATAAAGAAAACTCCAGACATGGATGGTTTTACTGGTAATTCTAACATTTAAGAAGGAAATGTTACCAATCTTTTAATAACTCTTCTAAGGATTACAAAAAGAAGGAACAGTGTTCATAGGGAATACTAAGAAATAAAACATGAATGAACAACTGATATACATACCACAGTGGATGAAACTTAGACACTGTGTTGAATGAAAGTATATTTTATGAGTCCATTTATATAAAGTTCTAGAACAACCTCCCTACCACTATAAAAAAGAATGGTGGTCCAAGGGCCCAAGTCAGGTTGACAGGTATTGAATTAGAATAAACTTCCTGAAGTGGCAAAAGTTTTATGGGTTACTTAATGTATAAGATGTACTTGCCAAGAACTCATTGAACTGTAAGATCTATGCATTTGACTATTTGTAAGTTACATCAATAAAATAAATCCTTCACTTAAAAAAATAATCAAGGCATTGCAGATTACTGAACAAAAATCTGGCCAGTCTAGGTAAAGATGGAAACACATCTAGTCCTGTAACTCTTGACTTGGGAAAGCAAATATAACCAGTTTCTCTAGTGATAAAAAGTTTATTCATATACTAAATTCGGCAACTTATGGAGACACTGAGAAGTTAATAGACAGTGTCTTAGCAAGCCTCACAGGAAAATAAATTTGCATCGGATTTTTTTAAATAAAAGAAACAGTTAACGCATACTGTTGAATTACAATGACAAATGCAACTAAGATTTTCAGGTTAATATGAAAATACTTATTAAAATGACTTCAGGAATAGCTGTTAGCAATTTGTTTGTGACATTTAGTCATTTTCTCTCCTAAATCTACATATTTTTAGTGCATCTGGTAACATTAAGAAGGCTGAGTTATTTTTTAATGATCTTTCACACTGATTCTCCTTCTAATAGAAAGACGAGTGCTAAGCAGAAGCATTATTGTGAAACCTAAAGGTTTCAGAGAGAACATGGTCCTGCCGACATTTTGATTTCAGAACTGTGAGACAATAAATTTTTGTTTTTAAGCCTCCGGTTTGTACTGTATTTTGTTACAAAGCCCTAAGAAAGTAATACAGATGTATTATTTATATATACCACAATTCTCTATTATTGGATTATTTTGTTAGTGACTTAAAACATTTGGAAAAGATTACTAAATGAATGAACATATTAATCAAATCTCTTCTAAAAAAGTCCTATATTTCACTGTGAGAGCAGAGATTCTTTTCATGTTATTAAAATACTATGAATATGGGCATCACTACAGACTGTGTACATTTATAAAAAAATCAGAAGACACATGGGGGTTTGAAATGTTTATCAGATAAAAGAACACACAAAACCGAGTAAAATTTTTATTTTAAAATATCACAAATAATTACAAAGATAAATGTCTCAACTGCACAAACTGTTTTATATATATATGTGTGTGTATATATATATGTGTGTGTCTACATATATACACACACACACACGTATTTAAACTTTGCTTCATCTTTCATCTTTTTATCTGAGTAAAAAGAAGAACACTTTCCTCATTCAGGAGATTTTTGATGTTGTAATAATTACCTAGAAGTAAAGCAGTAAGAAAAAAAAATTATTTCCATAGGAATCATTTCCTTTTAATTGTTTAGCCATCACTAAGGCAGTTACAGTATATAGTACCAAATTTTTTTTAATCAATTCATCTAACCTAAAGTAAGTCTTATTTAATTCTTAAGTCTATTTAATTCCAAGAACTAAAAAATCCAAGAGTTAACCATCACCTGTGATCCAGATAAGGTTTGACAGAAATGAAAATCTCACATCATTCTGATAACGAATGCTAAGGTGAATCAGACAAGGGTGAAGAAAGAGAAAATTTCTATATATTAGAAACTGATACATATTAAGATTAACTGAGTTATAATAATCATAATGTGTTCACAACAGTGCTAGTACATACTAAGGACTATATAAACACTGCTATTATTTTTGTCTCCTTTCATTAGAATGTAAGCTCCATTAGGGCAGGGATTTTTTCCCCTGTTTTGGTCACTTATGTATCCTATACTCTTAGAGCAGTGCTTGACAGATTCTCAATCACCTTTGTTGAATGATGAATAAATAAATGAACAAATTAAAAGTCCTCTTTCCAGAGGCTTGTGCTCTTTAATAGCTGATGAAACACACTATTCTGTATGTTTAAAATAACCTACTAAAAATTGCTTGACTACATAATGTCTTATAGGTAATACAGCAGAAATAATTTTCCTCCTACCTTGGATAAAACTAAATATTTTTACATTTTGCAATAAGCAATTCTTGTTCAATTTTCATGTACCCAAATACTAACATACTTACCTAATGATAAAATCAAAATATGTATTGGCATGAGTCACATGACATTTCATTTTGACCACCGTGGCTTCCATTTGCATGGTACTCATGAGCAACTATATAAATATTTTAACTATATGAAAGAAGATGTCTTTATTTTTCTTACCTGAAGGAACATAGAACGAATCCCCAGTTGTTATTATATAAGGTGTTTCATGTAAGGTACATAAAAGGTCACCAAAGTTAACATAAAAAACCTGTAAAATTAAAAATTAAAATCTCATTTCAAATTCAACAACACCACACTACAAAGAAACTTAAAGGAAATGTGGTAAGCAGAATAATGACCCTCCAAAGATGTTCACACTCTAATCTCCAGAATTTGTTACACGGCAAAAAGGACCTTGAGATTGGGAGATAGGTAAATCTGGATTATCTAGTTGGGCCTATTCTAATCACATGAACCCTTAAAAGTGGAGAATTTCTCCTAGAAGCAGAAGAGAGGGGCGCCTGGGTGGCTCAGTCGTTAAGCGTCTGACTTCAGCTCAGGTCATGATCCCAGGGTCCTGGGATTGAGCCCCGCATCCGGCTCCCTGCTTTGCGGGAAGCCTGCCTCTCCTTCTCCCACTCCCCCAGCTTGTGTTCCTGCTCTAGCTATCTCTGTCAAATAAATAAATAAAATCTTTAAAAAAAAAAAAAAAGCAGAAGAGAGATGAAGCAGAGGAAAACCAGAGAAATTCAAAGCATGAAAAGGACACAGACTGTTGCTGGCACTGAAGATACGAGGGCCATGAGCCAAGGAATAGAGGCTATTTCTAGTCTAGAAGCTGAGACTGAATTCTGGCTAACAGCCAGCAAGGGAATGAGAGCCTCAGTCCTACAACAACACGGAACTGAATTCTGCCAACAACCTGAATAAACTTGAAAGCAGAGTCATCCTAAGAGAGGGATACAGAGCTCCCAATATCTTGATTCCAGCCCTGTGATACTCCTAAACAGAATACTCAGCCAAGCTCGCGAGGATTCTAATCAATTTAACTGTGAGATAATAAATGGGTGTTGTTTTAAGTCAATGAATTTATAGTAACTTGTTAAAACAGCAATAGAAAACTAATACAGGAAGAAATTTCTTTTGTTCTTATTATTTACCAGCTTAAGAAAATTCAGAACCACAGTAAATAATATCACTTAGCTATACTACAAAATAGCTAGGTTTTATGTACACCTCTTTAAAAGTTACACGGTTGGGACAGGTAATTCAATCGGACAGATGAAAGAGAGAACAAAAAGCAAAACAAATAAATGATACATTTAAACAAGCATCAACATTAAGAAAGTAAAAGAGGATAAATCTAACTCTCAGTCATAAAGGCTTCCATATTCATATTCATGGCAAATTTTACATTTTATACATAGGTAGCACCCTGGCAATGATCTGGTTTTGGGGTTACTAAAAAAACATAAAGCCTTCAAACATTCAGATTCAAATTTTGAGATTCAGCCATCAAAAATATATTGCCTCAGAGAATCACTCCTCCTCTTCCACCTCCTTCTCTTTTTTTTTCTTAACACTTTGTAAAATGAGCCTAAAATACCAGAAAAACAATAGCAGCTAGCACGTACATAGCACTTACTCCTTGCCAGCCACTATTCTGAACACTTAATTTGTATTCATTTAACGTATGTAAGTAGCAATGAGACAGGTACTATTTTAATAGCTTTATACAAATGAAGAAAATGAGGCAACAGAGGGGTGTAATTTTCCAAGTTCACAATGTAAATGGCAAAAATGAGATCTGAACTCAGGCACTTTGATTCCAGAAATCACGCTTTTAACCACTATAATAGGCTAACTCCCTAAGTAGGAAAAAAGCTCTTCAAAAAGTTCCAAAGGTACTTTATAACTTAATAAAAAAAAATTTTTTTATTACATCTAAAAAACATTTTGCCTCAATTTAAAAGACTAAAAGGTAACAAACATACTACCCAGAAAGTCAAGCATGTATTTTTAGGTGTTTTTTTTTTCTTTATCTATTTAGTTTAGCTAAGTACACCTCTTTCCACTTCTGCAAACATTTTAATAGGAAGGCTTTTTAAGTACACAAAAACAGAATGATGAACTCCCATGAATATCTAATACCAACAACCTTCCCTGTTCCATCTCTTTACTTCCCCCATTCCATGTTATTTTGCAATAAATACCCCAACATCATAAATCATCTGTAAATATTTCAGTGTGTACTAAAAAATCAAGGTGTTTTTAAAATTTTTATTTATTTTTTAAAGTTTATTTATTTTTTTAGTAATCTCCATACCCAGCATGTGGCTTGAACTCATGACCCCAAGATCAAGAGTCACATGCACTACCAACAGAACCAGCCAGGCACCCCCAAGGTGCTTTTTAAAAACACAACTACAACAGTTTTATCACACCTAAACATAAATAAATATTTAATATCAAATACCCAGTCAGTATTAAAATTTCCAACTGTCTCTTAAATGTATTTTTAAGAGTGTTTATCCTCTTAAATTGCTCAATCTACAGTAGTTCTCAATTTGAAGGTAATTTCTCAATTTCAGGAGACAAGAGGCAATGTCTGGGAACATTTCTGATTCTTACAACTAGAGGAATACTACTAGAATCTAGTTGGCAGAGGTCAGGGATGCTACTGAACATCCCACAATGCACAGGAAGCCCTTCTACAATAAAGCATTATCCAGTCTAAAATGTCAGTAATGCCATGATTGAGAAACACTGATCTATAGGTTCTACTTGGTTCTTTTTTATTCCTTGCAACTTACCTATTAAAGAAATCAAACAGAAAAGTTTGCTGTAAAAATCTTTGCATAGTTGAATTTTGCTGATTACAACCTCAGGGTATCATTTGAAAGGTCATCTATTCTTTATTTCCTTAAATTGGTAGTTAGATATTAGAGTTTTGATCAAATTCAGGTATTTTTGTTGTTTGCTTTATGTTTTTTTCTTTTTTGGTTTGTTGGTTTGTTTTTAAAGGAAATGGAAGAGGCAAGACTATTTCATACATAGTATTGTATTCTTCCATCAGGAGGCACATAAAGTCTGGTTGTCTTTTCATTTATTTTTTTCTTTTTTTTAATATATTACTTTTTTAATTAATTTTTTTAACCCCATCCTCCCCACCTCCTTCCCTCCAGCAGTCCTCAGTTTATTTCCTATGATTAAGAGTCTCTTATGGTTTGTCTCCCTGATTTCATCTTGTCTTATTTTTTCCTCTCTTCCCCTATGATCCCCTGTTTTGTTTCTTAAATTCCACATATGAGTGAGATCATATAATTCTTTCTCTGACTGACTTATTTCACTTAGTATAATACCCTCTAGTTCCATCCACATTGTTGCAAATGGCAAGATTTCATTTTTTGATGGCTGAGTAATATTACATTGTGTGTGTGTGTATATATATATACACACACACACACACACCACATCTTCTTTATCCACTAGTCTGTCAGTGGACATCTGGGCTCTTTCCATAGTTTGGCTATTGTGGACATTGATGCTATAAACATTGGGGTGCAGGTGCCCCTTCAGATCACTACATTCGCATCTTTGGTATAAATACCCAGTAGTGCAAGTGCTGGGTCATATGGTAGCTCTATTTTCAACTTCTGGGGTTGTCTTCTTTTTTAGATGTTAGCAGACATTCATATTCAATGCCTAGACAGATCCAACAGTTTATCAGGGATTGCAAAATGGTAATATTTTATTCTACCATTCCTTTTTCATTTATTAATTGGAATATTTTTAAAGATTTTATTTATTTATTTGAGAAAGAGAGACCACAAGCAGGGGGAGCATCAGAGGGAGAGGGAGAAGCAGGCTCCCACTGAGCAGAGAGCCTGATGTGGGACTCGATACCAGGACCCTGAGATCATGACCTCAGCCAAAGGCAGAGGCTTAACTGACTGAGCCCCCAGGCACCTCTAATTGGAATATTTCTAAAAAGGACAACTTCACCTCATTTTTATTTGGTTACATAATAGTACAGTTTATAAGAAAAGGGCAAAAAAAATGTTTATTTCCCTTTATTTACCATATTTGTTGTCAAAATAAGTTAGGCTCCTAGAATTCTCCAAGAGCAGTGAATTAGTTTTTCTTTTTTATAGCAGTCTTTCAAATTCATGAATTTAAATATAATGGATATGTATCAATCCACTTAAGTTATTCTTATTGATTCTCAAGTTTTCACATCTTTGTCCAGTGAGAGCATCTTCAAGTTGGATCCTGAGACCTTATGACCCAATTCTAATGGTCTTTGGTAAGTTTGCTAGCAGTTATGATTAAAAAAAACATTTCAAGCTCAGGAGCATTTGGATGACGCAGTCAAGTAGGCCTCCAACTCTTGGTTTTGGCTCAGATCATGTTCTCAGGGCTGTGGGATTGAGCCCCATGTCAGGCTCCACGCGCAGAGCAGAGTCTGCTTGAGACTCTCTCTCCCTCTCCCTCTGCCCCTCTTCCCCTCACTCTCTCTCTAAAATAAATAAATCTTAAAAAATATATAAATATAAATATAAATATAAATATAAATATATAATTTCGAGCTCAGCTCCAGGCTTGCATTCAGACATTTCTCTAAGGAACTCTGGTTCTTTAAAGTATGTTACTCTCACTTTTTTGTTTTTTAGTTCTGGAACATTTATTGTCTAATTTTTCAAATATTTCCACCCCTTCACTCATTTATGTTTTTTCCTCTCTTCTCCTGGTTTTTTTTTCTGTTCTCCACATCACTTCACTTTTTTATTTTCCATTTCTTAATCTCTTCTTGTCTTTTGGGAGCTCCACAACCAACTCCCATAGTTAATCTGTTAATTCTTCTGTGGTTTGATTTTCACAAATCTACTACTGCTACTATCTCCCTCTCATACAGATTCTTTAACACTGAGTTTGAAGGAAAGAGTTAACAGCCTATGCTCGTTCTCCATCTGGTCCCTTTTGTTTCTCAAAAGCATATATTTAAAAGTGTGCTTCATGTTTTAAAAAATGTAAAAATTATTATACAAAAAAATAAAAAAACTTTAACTCCGATTTTCACTATAAAAAGTTATGGGCAATACTTAGAAGAAATAAAAATCAAGTATAATCATCCGATAACATGTTATTTTTCTATAGTTCCTTCAATTTTCATTTTTAAATTCTAGTCAGAATAAAATAGAGAGTTTTCTATTTTCCATAAGTTTGCTTAAATATTTATCCTAAAGGTCTTCTTATATGGCTATTCTTCAAAAATAATATGCTTAAACTGATATAAAAATACTTATTACAGTACCTGGAACATCTAAGTGCTATATAACTGCTTATTATCATATAATGACATCTTATTATTAAGTCAAAATATAAAATATAACCATTTCTTTCTGCAACACTTTCCAATGGTTTCTAATTTTTGCAATTACTATCAATGTTACAATAAATATGAGTGAAATAAGTCAGTCAGAGAAAGACATGTATCATATGACCTCACTGATATGAGGAATTCTTAATCTCAGGAAACAAACTGAGGGTTGCTGGAGTGGTGGGGGGTGGAAGGGATTGGGTGGCTGGGTGATAGACATCGGGGAGGGTATGTGCTATGGTGAGCACTGTGAATTGTACAAGACTGAGGAATCACGGATCTGTACTTCTGAAACAAATAATGCAATATATGTTAAGAAAAAAAAAGAAGAAGAAGAAGAAGATATCAGGAGGGGAAGAATGAAGGGGAGTAAGTCGGAGGGGAGACGAACCATTAGAGACAATGGACTCTGAAAAACAAACTGAGGGTTCTAGAGGGGAGGGGGGTGGGGGGATGGGTTAGCCTGGTGATGGGTATTAAAGAGGGCACATTCTGCGTGGAGCACTGGGTGTTATGCACAAACAATGAATCATGGAACACTGCATCAAAAACTAATGATGTAATGTATGGTGGTTAACATAACAATAAAAAATTATTAAAAAAAAAAATGTTACAATAAATACCTATATATATCCAGCTTCCCTAGCCTTTAAATTATTTTCTGAGGAAAATACTCTGAAATGAGATTCATAAATCAAAGGGTACAAATATTTTTCCAATAATTTCTACTAGCTAATATAAATATTCTTGTTTTTAATGTGGATTCCTTTGAATAGCAGTCAGATTAAATACTTTCCAACATTTACTATTTAAATTTTCTTTTGTATAATAAAGGCATTATAGTTTAATGGGTAACTGCTATTATTTCAATGATGATATTTCATAATGCTTATCTTCATTTTATATTAATTTTATATTAATTAATTAACTTAATGATTATGCAGACGTCATCATGACTTTAGTTAGTTCAATGTGTTATTTTTATTCTTTTAATAGTATCTGGAGAATATTTTAAGATTGGGTTAAAGCATATTTTAAGGTATTTTAAATCTAATTCTAGTTATACTAATATATTAATGAATCACTCTTTGACCTTCATGTGTACCTTCGTTTCTTGCCTCAATTTGCCCTTCTTTGATAATATAAACTCAAGGGCTTGATGTTCTTTCTTTTTTTCTTTCTTGAGTTTAATTTTGTCAGTAAAAATAATTGTTTTGAATGCAATACTCCAGTAACTCATTGTATCACAGGTTCCTGAAATGTTACTTACTGAAAAATGTGCCTTAGACTCAGTATTTTTAAATGGCAGTAAAATAGTAAATATTATTAAAATTTGGTGATATTCAAATTCTGTAATTTTCAAATTCAAAATGTACAAATACAACATATATATATCTCACATCAATGGTGCAGGTGCGTGTATCTCCAATGAGAGACAAAGGGATGGACTCACCTTGAATCTCATTATAATTTCAGCCAGTAATACTGCCACATATAGTAATACATTATTTAGTGCTTATTGAAGTAAGTAGCTCCTAGTCCTCAGTCTACTGCTGATTACATGATTCTGAAGAAGACTTTAAAACCTCATTATTGCTAAACTACATGATCAGTGAAATGAAATTTAGACTTAATTTTCAACAGCTCTAATGATTTGTTTGCAAACCTGTATTCTATGGTTCTTTTAAGTAAAGAACATTCCTTAGCCTGCTTCTCCCTCTCTCTCCCTCTGCTTGTGCTCTGTCAAATAAATAAATAAAATCTTAAAAATTAAATAAAAATGGGCGCCTGGGTGGCTCAGTTGGTTAAGCGACTGCCTTTGGCTCAGGTCATGATCCTGGAGTCCCGGGATCGAGTCCCACATCGGGCTCCCTGCTGAGCAGGGAGTCTGCTTCTCCCTCTGAACCTCTTCCCTCTCATGCTCTGTATCTCTCATTCTCTCTCTCTCTCAAATAAATAAAATCTTTAAAAAAAAAAAAAAATTAAATAAATGAATTGGCTGCTTGAACACTTTAAAAAAAAAAAAAACTTTTGAACTTCAAGGTTACACCGCTATGCACAGAACAGGTACTTTTAAATAACCACTAGCTGACTGACTAAACAGATTTAACAGAAAAATTCTCTATGCACTACAATAATATAATTTCTGATAAAACAGCATTTTTAATGCCTCATCAAGTCCAACAAATCAGAGTTATACCAACGGAGCAACATAAACATATGGAGAAATATACTCACCAATATATCTGAGCCAACATGCTGCTTTCCCTTTTCTTGATGTGGTCCTAATATTAATTTTCCAGTAGAAAAAATAGGTGTATCCAGTGTTTTATACACCTTCAACTCACCATGCTCAACAAAAAATTGATACGTATCTCGTGGCCTTAAAAGATCTAAGGGAAAAACGCTAATATAAATATAAAGCAAACAGCAATAATAACGCTCAATGATATAACATATACAACAGAATTATTCCTAGATATAAACCTGCCTTACAAAGACAGAAGTGATTAAGGTCATTTACTTGAACTAGAATGGCAGAGGTCAAATTTTGTCTGTCTCACAAGTTGTGTGACCAGGCAAGTTAGTTCTCTCTCTCTGCCTCTCTTTTCTTTTCTATAAAATGGGACAATATAGTTCATCTATGTTAGAATTGTGAATATCAAATGAATTAATGTGTATAAAGTATTTAAAATACTGTCTGGCACAAATAAGCATTAGGCAGGTCTTAGCTATTAATAATAACAATGGCAGTATTATTATTTCTATTATAGCTCAGACAGAAAACAAAATTAGCTAAGAAACAAGAATTCCACATCTTTAAAAAGTTTAACATAGCCCACAATTAACAAATATATCATCATAATAGATTATTTTGTGCTTGCTTGACTGATTATTAAATAGCAAGATTTTTATCAAGTAAAGCAAGGGTACTTACTGTTGCTCACAATCACTATCTCATTTCTGAATTTCCCCTTTACTTATAAACCTTTCCAAATATATAGTTTAAATATTCTTCTGCAATCAACTTCTGTTTCCTTGGATATTTGGGAATGTTAGTAATCTCACAGATTACAGGATATAGAAAATACATAGACTCAAGAAACAGACAAAAAGTTAAGAACTCCTGACAACACTCACAACTTTTCCAACCTGATACAATATAGCAATGTTTTTAGTTAAGACACTACACTAAACAAAATTTTCTGTACTTCTACCTCTGTTGCCAAATAAACAATCTGATTATAAAAATAACTTTACTACTTAAGATGTCAAATGGAACCTATTTCACAGCCAAAATTTTAATTGGGAATACCATTACTGCCTCTCTGATTTGACCTATTTGTCCTCTGACTAGGATAAATGGTCCTCAGTACTCACCGATATAGTCAAAACAGCTAAAACACTTAAGTATTTCCTGTATGTAAATATTACCTGTTGGTAAAGAGCTAAGTGTCCCCTACTTGCCCTCATCACACTATAGCCCATCCTTTGGAACCAATCATGGTCTCAGAGACAATGTACTTTTAATGCCTATTAGATACAACAGTAGGCCTCTAGGACCCTCCACTGGCCTTAAGGTTAAGCCTGGCATTTGTGTGGTATATCAATGTCCTTGCTAGTCATCACCCTAAAGGTCTGATTTCCTAGGTACTATTATTGGCATCCATGGCTCAGAAGGCTGTCTAAATCCTGCCCACAATCCCTGCCTGGACTCACAGTAAGGGTGTATTCTGGGATCTACCAGCTAAATCGCAACAGCTACCCATAAAAAAATCCTGTTCCCATATGTCATCTTGGTTAAAGAAGGCCTGGGCCCTACTGGGGGAGGCAACACTCCTGATGATAACATCTGTACCCTAGAGGATAAATACATTGTGCTATGTGTCCGCTAGACACTGTTTGCTATCAGAACTCTCCCAGAGTAGTCCTCACATAGGCTGCTTACTGGAATTAGAGACTCTACTGGACTTTTGGCTCTAAAAGAGCTGGGAAGAAAAAGAGAAAGCAGATAGGCTAGTCATCAAGCCAGCAATCTGTCCTTACTAATTGTTAAATTAAACATTTTCATTATCCCTAATCTTACCCATGGGAATAATCTCTCTTGTTTCTGGGTCCTTTACCCTTGTTGGCTGCAATGGATCTCCCAAAGGTATACTCAGATTTACCATGAGTTTATTCTCTGCAAAAGAAATATCACTGTAATACAAACTACTTATTTAAAATTCTTCTCAATTAAAAGAAAGTCTAGTATGAAATACAGCTATGGACAAGTTGTAAGAAAAGAAAAAAAAAGACTACCACAGGCATAACAATCTCTTCCTATTTTCCTATTTATAAATGACTACTCTGATAAACAAAAATTCAAAAACCACAATGATTTAATATAGAATCAAACATACTAAACTTATTTTCTGTAAACCTGTTATGACAACTGTTGATATTTTTGCATCATCAAAAATGTTTTGAATATTCTCTCAGAGAGCTAGAAGTATGTAATACACTAAAAATTCATTAAAATGTCTATTTTAATCATAATTTGAGCATGGGAAAAGTGAGCTTCAATGACAGGGTAATTTACTCATGAGAAGTGTTTTATATTATGCTATTAATGATTTTTTTAAAAAGCAAAATATGTCTATTTTCAGAATTTGGAAAAAAGAGTGGACATTAAAAAGTGAATTCAAGGGGCGCCTGGGTGGCTCAGTCACTAAGCGTCTGCCTTCGGCTCAGGTCATGATCCCAGGGTCCTGGGACTGAGCCCCGCATCAGGCTCCCTGCTCAGCAGGAAGCCTGCTTCTTCCTCTCCCACTCCCCCTGCTTGTGTTCCCTCTCTCACTGTGTCTCTCTCTGTCAAATAAATAAATAAATAAAATCTTTAAAAAAAAAGTGAATTCAAAACAAGAGAAAAAGAAAACACATATTCCAAAACCTATAGGTTGCAGCACAAGCAGATGTTAAGAGTGAAATTAATGCTATAAAATGTTTGTATTAAGACATAAAGTTCAAAGAAACAACTTAACATTATACCACAAGAACTAGAAAAAGATTTAGCTGAAATTTAGTAGAGGAAGGAAGTAACAAAGAAAAATCAGAAATAAATAAAATAGAGACCAGAATAAACAATAACTTAACACTGAAAGTAATGACCAGTTTTGTCATTTGATTTCTTATTTTGCCCAATGCTTGTGCAGTAGTGTATTGTTTAATATTTACATACTAAATATTTAATAGTTTACATTGTAGATTTTCCAGCTTTGTTTTATTGTTGATCTTTACTTTTGTACCATTGTGGTTGGAAAATATACTTGGTATGATTTCAGTCTTCTTAAATTTGTAACATTTGTTATGTCTCTTTTTATGTGAGGATTCTTCTGTGTGTACTTGAAGAAAATGTGTATTCTATTTTTCTTGGATGGAATGTTTTATATATATCTTCTAGAACCATGTATTCTGAAGTATGTTTCAAGTTAAAAACGTTCTTGTTGGAAAAAAAAATAACTTTCACTGAGGGTACTCATTTAAAATAAAGCATATAGCAAGGGAGGTGGGTGGGAGGATGGGCGAAGTAGGTAAAGGGGATTAAGAGTATACTTATCGTGATGAGCAATGAGTAATGATGTTTAGAATTGTTGAATTACTATATTGTACACCTGAAACTAATATAACACTATATGTAAACTATACTGGAATTAAAATAAAAAACTTAAAAATAAAGAAAAAAAAGTGAATTCACCCTGAAGTATTACATCTAACGTTTTTACAAATAAATTTCAAAATTTGTAAAGAGCTACTTCTCAGAGCAATATTATTTAAAATAAAATCTAAAAGTTACTTTCAAGAATAAGTTCATACTTCTTTCCTCATTATCAAGACAGATCCTTTTCCTATTAACCATTTTGTTGACTTTTCCAATGTTTCCTTTTGACTTCCCTTTAGATGATACTGTGTCTGGGGACAGTATTCCACCAATCACAAATCCTCCTGAAAGTTAACAACAAAAAAGGTAAAGTGTCATACCTGAGAGAGTAAAAATATTGAAACAAAATTTGAATTACTATAGCACATTTCCTTTCAGACTACCACAGAATCCAGTACTATTACTATATCCTAGAGCTAGTAACTCAAATAACACAAATACCAACCAATTCCACTTATGTTTCTACTACCCTAAATCTAGATGACTGATAAAACATGATAGAATCTCTGTTGCTTGAAATCAAGTCAGGTTGAAAAACAAAGAACACAAAAGCCAGCAATGAAGTATTTATAATAATTCACAAGTGAGCTTTAGTTCTTTGACTTAGATATATCCACCACAGAAAGGAACTAACTTTCTTGCCCACTGTCTGTATTTCTGCAGAGAAATATGATGAGCAAATGGGATGAGAATAGTAAAGGGGAATATTTATTACTCTTTGCCACTTTTATAATTTTCTCATGTTCTGATCTAATGACTTAATTTATGCAATTAAAAACCTTGTTCAATAGTATGGAATAATAACATTCTCAAGCCACACATCACCTCAAACTGCTACCAAAGAGAGAAAAAGATAAGCATTTCTACAGTATTCAGACAAATCTGTACTTGAATCTGTTCTGGCCTCATTTTTGGAAGACAATGATAAAATGAGGTAATTTATGTAAATATGTAAGACAGTGCTTTGCACATAATATACATAAACTGTTGCATTCTCATTATTATTTATTGTCAGATATTAAAGTGTAAACTGGAATTTACCTGATGGCCTTCCATGATAATCTATTCGCTCTCCCCGCCAATATTCCAAAGGTTTCAATCGTGTTCTCTTGGTCCTGCGAACATTTGGTGTGTTGGAAGGCAATACTGTAAAAAGATATTACACAAAAATGTACACATATAAATGTTTAATTGGATAGTCTTTGTAGTGGAACGACTGATATTACCCTCTAGAATACTAATGTTTCTAGACAAAACAGTAGAAAAACAGAAATTTTATAATATATTTGTGCTAATAAAGAAATGCCAATGAAAAAAATAAGCTGCTAGATTGGCCAAGATTAAAAAACTTGGTAACACGCAGGGTGAATGATGTTAACGGTACACAGAAACTCAAATATATTTTAAGTAGAAATGTAAACTGATTGAAGGCAATTTAGCCATAACTTGATTCAGAATTTAATTTATAGAAAATGAGTCTGCAAAAATATACACAAAAAGAGGCAAAGCTAGAGGCGGTCCAAGATGGTAGCATAGGGAAGACCCTGAACTCACAACCTCCATGGACACACTGAACCTGCACCTATATGTAGACAAATTCCTTCTGAAGAACTGAGAGCTGACTGAACAACTTCTGCTCAACAAAGGAGAGAAGGGACCACAGAGAGAAAGGCAGGAGAGACAAGACACGGCAGTATCTGAAACTTCACCTCGATCCGATGACCTGCAGAAGGGAGGAATGTCACTGAGAGGTGCACAGAGTCACCTGCCCTGAGGCACAAAAAACCCAAAACAAACAAACAAAAAACCAGTGGTTTAAAGGGTAACTGACTATACCTGAAGAAAATCCATTTACTAACCCTAGAGCATCTGCCAAAAAGTGGCACAGCTACTGGAACTCTCTCCAGGTCACAGGTGCTGGCAAGCACCATTGCTTATGTTCCTCCACTTTGATAATGCAGATGGGATCAGAATTCATGTGCTCTAGTTGGCCTGCTAGGGCTACCATAGCCAGATCCAGGACCCAAGCTCCAGCCATGCCCATAGGGTAGCACCCCACCTGCCATGCCTTATCACACCAGGGTGTGATAGCTCAAGCACACTCCAGGTCTAGTCGGCCACCCAAAACCACCAAGCACTCAGAGTCTACATAGGGGATATTCCTACACAAGTCCGCTTCTTCAAGATCAGGAGACGTAACAAAATAAGGACACATGTTCATGCTCATGTTCCAAATGAAAGAGTAAGATAAAACTCAACAACAACAACAACAAAAAAAACCTAAATGAAATACAGAAAAACAATCCACCTGAAAAAGAGTTCAAAGTAATAAAAACGCTCACCAAACTTGAGAGAAGGATGGATGAACTCACTGAGAACTTCAATAAAGAGACAGAAAATAAAAATAAAACAATCAGAGCTAAAGAATACAAAATTGAAAGGAAAAATAGCTAGAGGCATTAACAGCAAATTAGAGGATGCAGAGGAATGGATCAGTGAGATGGAAGACAGGGTAGTAAAAAAGCACCTAAGCTGAAAAGCAAAAAGAAAAAAAAATTTTTAAATGAGGATAGGTTAAAGGATCCCTGGAGCAACATCAAGTGTAATAATAGCAGTACTATAAGGGGTGCAGAAGAAAAAGAAGAAAAGAGAGATAGAAGGGCAGAAAACTTAACTGAAGAAATAATAACTGAAAACTTCCCTAATCTGTGAGAGGAAACAGACATCCAAGTTCAGGAAGAAGAGAGCACCAAATAATATGAACCCAAGGAGGTCCACACTAACAGACAAAATAATTAAAATATCAAAAGTTAAGATAAAGTAGAAATCTTAGAAGCAGCAAGAGAAAAGCAGATAGTTATGTACAAGGGAACACCCGTAAGGATATCAACTGATTTTTCAGCAGAAACTTTGTATGCAAAAGAGAGAGGCAGGATATATTCAAAGTCCTAAAAGGAGAAACAAAACAAAACAAAACAAAAAAACCCAAAACAACAAAACCATGAATGCTCTTCCAGGGAAGGTTATCATTCACAACTGAAGGAGAAATGTGAATTTCCCAAACAAGTTAAAGAAATTCATCCCTACTAAACCAGCCTTACAAGAAATATTAAAAGAATTTCTTTAAGCAGAAAAGAAAAGGCCATAACTAGAAGAAAATTAGGAAAGGAAAATTTTCACTGGTAAAAGCAAGCATATGAAAAAGGTAGTACATCAATCATTTATAAAGCTAGTATGAAGGTTAAAAGACACAAGTAGTAAAATCAATTATATCTAGAAAAATTACTTATAGGATTCACAAATAAAGATGTAAAATTTTACATCATATATATAAAACATGGAGGGGGGAGCAAAAATATAGTGCTTTTAAAATGTGTTGGAACTTAACCAACCATCGACTTAATATAGACTCCTATATACACAGAATGTTATATATGAACCTCATGTTAATACCATAAATTGAAAAACCTGTAATGGAAACACAAAACAAAAAAAGAGAGAAAAGAATACAAGCATAACACTAAAGAAAGTCATCAAATCACAAGAGCAAAAAAAAGAAAAAGAACACTACAAAAGCAACTAGAAAACAATGAAAAAAATCGCAATTAGTACATACCTATCAATTGCTTTAAATGTAAATGGACTGAATGCTCCAATCAAAAGACATAGGGTGAGTGAATGGATAAAAAACGAGACCCAACAACATGCTGTCTACAATAAACTAATTTCATGCCTAACAACACATACAAACTGAAGTTGGGACCAAAAAAAGGGTCCATGCAAATGGAGGTGAAAAAAAAGCTAGGGTAACAATAATTACATCAAACCAAAAAAAAAACCTCTAAAGATTACAAGAGACAAAGAAGGGAATTACATAATTATATGGGATCAATCCAACAAGAGGATGTAACAGTTGTAAGTATATATGAACCCTACATAGGAACACTTAAATATATAAAGTAAATATTAACAGACACAAAAGGAGAAACTGACAGTAATACAAAAGCAACAGACTTCAGGGGAGCCTGGGTGGCTCACTGGGTTAAGCATCTGCCTTTGGCTCAGGTCATGATCACAGAGTCCTGGGATCGAGCCCCTTGTTGGGCTCCCTACTCAGTGCAGAATCTGCTTCTCCCCTTCCTTCTGCCCCTCCCCCTACTTGTACATGCGCTCGCTCTCTCAAATAAATAAATCTTTAAAAAAAAAAAAGAATTGTCTTTGCAGATGACATGATACTCTATGTGGAAAATGCAAAAGACTCCACCACAAAATTGCTAGAACTACTACAGGAATTCAGCAAAGTGGCAGGATATAAAATCAATGCACAGAAATCAGTTGCATTTCTATACACTAACAATGAGACAGAAGAAAGAGAAATTAAGGAGTTGATTCCATTTACAACTGCACCAAAAACCATAAGATACCTAGGAATAAACCTAACCAAAGAGGCAAAGGATCTGTACTCAGAAAACTATAGAACACTCATGAAAGAAACTGAGGAAAACACAAAGTAATGAAAAAACGTTCCATGCTCATAGATTGGAACAACAAATATTGTTAAAATGTCTACACTACCTAGAGCAATCTGTACATTCAATGCAATCCCTATCAAAATACCATCAACTTTTATCACAGAAGTGGAACAAATCATCCTAAAATTTGTATGGAACCAGAAAAGACCCTGAATAGCCAAAGGAACGTTGAAAGAGAAAACCAAAGCTGGTGGCATCACAATTCCAGACTTCAAGCCCTATTACAAAGCTGTCATTGTCAAGACAGTATGGTACTAGCACAAAAACAGACACACAGATCAATAGAACAAAACAGAGAAACTGGAAATGGACCCTCAACTCAATGGTCAACTAATCTTCGACAAAGCAGGAAAGAATATCCAATGGAAAAAAGACAGTCTCTTCAACAAATGGTGTTGGGAAAATTGGATAGCCACAAGCAGAAGAATGAAACTGGACTATTCTCTTATACCATACACAAAAATAAACTCTAAATGGATGAAAGACCTACATGTAAAATAGGAATCCATCAAAATCCTAGAGGAGAACACAGGCAGCAACCTCTGTGACCTCGGCTGCATCAACTGCTTGTTAGACATGTCTCCAAAGGCAAGGGAAACAAAGGTAAAAATGAACTACTGGGACTTCATTGAGATAAACAGCTTTTGCACAGCAAAGGAAACAGTCGACAAAACCAAAAGACAATTGACAGAATGGGAGAAGATATTTGCAAATGACATATCAGATAAAGATCCAAGATCTATAAAGAACTTACCAAACTCAACACCCAAAGAACAAATAATCCAGTCAAGAAATGGACAGAAGACATGAACAGACATTTCTCCAAAGACATCCAAACGGCCAACAGACACATGAAAAAATGCTCAACATCACCTGGCATCAGGGAAATACAAATCAAAACCACAATGAGATACCACCTCACACCAGTCAGAATGGCTAAAATTAACAAGTCAAGAAATGACAGATGTTGGTGAGGATGTGGAGAAAGGGGAACCCTCTTACACTGTTGGTGAGAATGCAAGATGGTCAGCCACTCTGGAAACCAGGATGGAGGTTCCTCAAAAAGTTAAAAATAAGAGCTACCATACAACCCAGCAATTATACTACTAGGTATTTACCCAAAGGATACAAACGTAGTGATTCGAAGGGGCACCTGAACCCCAATGTTTATAGCAGCAATGTCCACAATAGCCAAACTATGGAAAGAGCCCAGATGCCCAACGACAGAGGAATGGATAAAGAAAATGTGATGTGTGTGTGTGTATAGACAATGGAATATTACTCAGCCATCAAAAAAATGAAATCTTGCCATTTGCAACGATGTGGACAGAACTAGAGGGTATTATGCTAAGTAAAATAAGTCAATCAGAGAAAGACAATTATATGATTTCACTCATATGTGGAATTTAAGAAACAAAACAGCATCATGGGGAAGGGAGGTAAAACTAACACAAGACAAAATCAGAGAGAGAGAGAAACCATAAGAGACTCTTAATCATAGGAAACAAACTGAGGGTTGCTGGTGGGGAAAGGGGTGGGTGGATGGGGTAACTGGGTGATGGAATGAGCACTGGGTATAAGGCGGATGAATCACTGACCTCTACCTCTGATACCAATAATACATTATATGTTAATTGAATTTAAATAAAAAATTTAAGAAAAGACTGATGAATCACTGAACTCTACCTCTGAAACTAATAAAACACTATACGTTAATTAATTCAATTTAAATAAAATAAAATTTAAAAAAGAAAAACTTAAATAAATAAATATATTTTTAAAAAGCAGCAGCAGAAAAAAAAACCAAACTGAAATTCTCATAATCATTACAACTTTGGTTGTAAAATACTTTGGTTGTTACAGTTTACCATAACCATCTAACTGATTTTCTGCTGGAAGTATTTCTCCTGAATTCTCAAGAGCTAGTTTTTGGAGTCAAACTTAACATACTAACTTAACCATGAACTAGTTGTGAAACATCACAGAAGCTAAAGCCACTCAACCTCTCTAATGTAAACTGTAGTTTTTTCCATCCGCCTACTAAAATAAATAACAGGTAAATAACAGAACCCACCTCATAGAGTTTTGTGAGATGTAAATTAATATAATGCTGTAACATGCCTGACATATAGCAATTCATTAAACATTAGCTATTACTGTTTTTTTAACTTTATTTACTTACTTACTTATTTATTTAAGTAATCTCTACACCCAACATGTGGCTCGAACTCATGACCCCAAGATCAAGAGTTGCATGATCTTTTGATTGAACCAGCCAGGTGCGCCACTATTACTATTTTTTAAAAAAATGGGTAAAGCTGTATTTACAAGAACATTCATGGTAGTATTATTTATACTTAGAAAACAAAAACCAAATTGAACACCATCTAAATATTACACAAAAGGAAACTTATAAATCAGGGTAGTTATGTGTGCATGTGTTTGTGTGTATACATATATATCCACTCATTTTATCTAACAATGCAAAGTTCTATATAGTAAGCTGACTTTGTTGGCTATATAATCAAATTCCTATGCTTTTACCTACCTTCTGTTTGCTAAGTTTCCAATTCTGAAAGTAGTTTATTTAAAATCTCCCAGTCTAACTGTACTGTTTAGTAAAAATCTTTTTTTTTTTTTTTTTTAGTTTTTTCTTTATACTATTTGTTAAGTTGTTTGGTGCATAAGTGTTTATGATTTTTCTATCTTCTTCATTAATTTTTTCATTACATGTCCTTCTCTATTCTGTTCAGCACTTTCATTTTAACCTTAAATTCCACTTTCCCTAATATTAAAATTACACTATTTTCTTTTTATTTTCAGTAGTCTACCTAATTTTTTTGACAATCTTTTATTTTTTAACCTGTTTTAAGTGTTTCTTATAAACACATAATTCAATATGTACTATTTAACCAAATCTGAGAGTCCCTACCTTATTAGAGGAATTCAATCCATTATTTAGTGTAACAAGCAACATGTTTCCTTTTATTCCTTCCATCTTACTTTATATTTAACTAGTTATTTTCCATCAGTGCTGCTTCTTTCTCATTTTTATTGATTTGAGCAAATGACCATATCTTTTTCTTCCCCTCCCTTGGTCATTTCAAAGTTTTGCTGTGCTTTTTCACCCTAATATTGGTCACCTTCCCATTCCTGACACTCAAAAATTAAACTCTCATTTCTCCATGATTATATTAAAAACTATATCCCTTACCAAGATATGCTATTCTCTCCTTTTCTCATTCAGTAAAATAAAACTTTTAGACTATTTTTACTACCGCTCTTCTGCCCCTACTCTCTTCCCTACCACATTAAGTTTTTTGTTTTTTTTTTTAAGATTTTATTTATTTATTTGACAGAGAGAGACACAGCGAGAGAGGGAACACAAGCAGGGGGAGTGGGAGAGGGAGAAGCAGGCCTCCCGCCGAGCAGGGAGCCCGATTAAGTTTTAATTAAAGATAGTATGGATTTCAAGGTAATATTACAAAAGTCATTATTTAGCACTTATAAATCCCCATTCACATTAGCATTAGGTAGTAGTCACACCCTAAGGTAATCAGCAATAATTCACATTCTTGTGTAATAATCCCCTCTCCTAAGATGTGGGAACTGTGACTTTCTTCTCATCTGCAGAATATGGTAAGAGTGACAGGGAATCACTATGATTACATCACGATTATATATATGACAATATATGATATTATACATATAAGACACCATCTAGCAGATGCAGAGAGAAATTCTTCCTTGCTGGCTCTGAAGAACCAAGATGCCATACTATGAAGGGGCATATGGAAAAAAGGGTCATGTGGCAAAGAACTGCAGGTAGCCTTTAGAAGCTGAAAGTAATGGCCCATGGCTCACAGCCAGCAAGAAAACAGGTACCTCAGTCCCACAGTTTCAAGGAACTGAATTCTAACAACCACAGGAGCTTGGAATAGGACCTCAAACCTCAGATGAGACCACAACCCAGGCTAACACTTCTGATTGCAGCCTGTGACTCTTGAACAGAGGACCCAGCTAATCTGTGCCTGAGCTTGTGACCTGAAGAAAATATGGATAATAAATAAATGTGTGTTGTCTAAGCCACTGAATTGTGGTAATTTAGTACACAGCAACAGAAAACAAATACACGTTATTTAAATTTAACCACATATATTACAAGAATTATTCCTCACCACTGTTTCCTCTCTTTGGAGTCAATTTTGATTCATACACTTGGTTAGAATACCTTACATGAGTATTTTACCGGGAGGATTTAGAGTCAACTCAATCTTTGCATTATCTGCAAACTAAATTCACTTATCAGAAAGAAAAATACCTTGGCTAAGTACAAGATTACTGGATTGTAATACATTTCTTTTTTTTTTTGTAATACATTTCTTAAAATAGGCTATAGATGTTATTTTATTCTTCCAATGTTACACAGATCAACAGTACTAGTCATTTTTTCTCCCTTATATATAAATGTTTCTGTCTAGAAGCTTCCTTATATTCTTGAAATTTAGGATTTTATTCACTGATGTCTAGAAGTGTATCTTTTTCAATAATTTTGACTGGCAGTTGGCAAACTCATTCAAATTGCAGATTTAAGCCATCTTTAATCCAGGGAAGTTTTCTTTAACATACTTCTTTTAACTCTTTTCCCTCCTCCACCTGTTTATCTTTTCTGGAAATCCTATTATTTGCAAGTTTTCTCAGCTATCTCCATATTATTTCCACTGTATACCTTTTTTCCTCATGATTTCCATCTTTTCATATTTTGTCTCTGAGGAATGTCTTCCATGTCAACACACAGTTACTAACTCAGCTCTCAGTAACAGTGACTACCCTTTATTTTCACTTCATCTACTGACTTTTTAAATTTAAAAAATTGGGTTTTTTCAGTCCCAGAAAGTTTTCTGTGCTATAACTGAATCTCTGAAAATGCTCATATTTCTTTTATTGTTAAAATTGTTATTCATCTACTACAAAAATTCTAGCTCACCAGCAGTTGCCTACTGTTCTTAGGAATGATGCTTGATTTTCCTCTCTCTAGTTGCTAAAGCCCCTGCTGAGAAACATTATTTGTTTGCCTACTCCTGACTAGTTATCATTCCACTTCAAGAAAGCGTTAAGACTAACAGTCTTTCTTCATATGGGCCCACAAAATATTGACAAAATATGAGTTTTTGGTTGAAGCAATTTGAGGAAACTTCACTTCTAGTGGTTCTCCTCAGGTACAAGTTCAGGAGCACTCACAACTTCAGGCACAGAGAGAAACATAAAAGGCCACTGCAATCCCACAAAGGTGAAAGGTCCCATGAATCCTGACTGGCAAATACATCATGGGGAACCACAGAGTTTTAATCCTCCACGGCCTCTCCATGGGTTCCCCAGCTCCCATCTTGGTCTACTTATTCTAGCTACTGCTTCATTTACAAGTGGACTGGGTAAAAATGGGAGTTGTCAGGGATGTCATCTACCTAGCAGTTATTACTTACAGAATTCTCTACCCTAACTTCTTAGCGTAGGTGAAATCATGCTCCCTAATAGGGGCAAAGAGTGAGAGGGACACAGGATTTATAAATGAACAATAAAGATCATTATTTGGCCTATGATGACTTATTGTGAAATTCATAAAAACTAAATAGTTTTAATTTATCTGCCAATTAATCCAAATATTTCCTCCCTGCGTGAGAAAAATTAAGTCCTATTTAGTAACAGAGGTTTTATAATATGAAGATATTAAACGAGAGAAATAATCTTACCTAACTTGTGATGTATTTTATTCTCTGGTATTACTGTAGATATTTTTACTCTTGAGTCACCTGTAAAATGCAAATGATAATATCATGACCAAAGGCTGCTAATTCCATGTTGAATTAAACTGTTAGTTGGTCAATTTCTTTTTTTTTTTTTTTTAAGATTTTCTTTTTTTTTTTGACAGAGGGACAGTGAGAGAGGGAACACAAGCAGGGGGAGTGGGAGAGGGAGAAGCAGGCTTCCCGCTGAGCAGGGAGCCCAATGCAAGGGCTTGATCCCAGGACCTTGGGATCATGATCCGAGATGAAGGCAGACGCTTAACTGACTGAGCCACCCAGGCACCCCGGTCAATTTCAATATTAAGTATTTTAATTAAATTTAACCTGACAATCATGTTATTACTTTTTACTTTTTACTGCTGAAGAATAAAGACTAATGAAAAACAGTATAACATTTTTCTAGATTTTGCTACAATGTGTATGTCTAAAGAGCCTAACGGTTAAAAATAACAAAAAATAAGCAAGTTTTCTGGACTTCGGGTGAAATAAGCCACTTGGCAGATTAAAATGTAGGGTGTAATAAAGAACAATCAATATGCTAATAATGTAATATATGATCTTTCAAGTTCTAAAATAGTATAAGTATACTAAATTTAGCAGTGTGCCAATTAGGCCAAAGTTTTCAACTTCAGTATTGAAATAGCATCTAAACATAGCTGCCATTAATTCTTTCTCTTCCTATGCACAAATGTCATTCTTTACCAAGAAGCAGAGTCTAATTCCCTTTTCTCTGAACTCCCTAATTCCCTGAATCTCTGCTGATCTTAATGACTAGCTTGACTAACAGAACATAGCAGAAATGACATTCTGGGGCTTCAAAGGCTAAGTCCTAAGAAGATATGCAGGTTCCACCTGGGTTTCTTACAACTTCACTCTGGAGAAAGAGACATCACATAAGAAGTCCGACCACCCCAAGACTGCCATGCTGTGAGGAAACCCAAGCTAACCACATGCAGAGAAAAAAGATACACCCGGCCAGCCCCCAACTTGTTCCAGCCACCCTAGCTAAGTGCTAAATATAGAAGTGAAAAAGTCACCCTGGACTTCCAACCCAGTTGAACTTTCAAATGACTCCAGCCCCAGCAGCTTGCATTTAAGTAGGAATGCATGAGAGAGCCCAAGTGAGACTTGCCCAACTAAGCCAAGTCAACCCACAGAACAATGAGAGAGAAATCAATTGTTGTACTAAGCCACTAAGTTTTGGGTGTTTGTTATGGAGCAACACATAATTGGAACACTTAATGTCCATGAATGACCTAAAACTGAAAAGTAAGTCTACGCTTTCAATTATATTCTCAAATGAGTCCATGATAGCAAAAGACTGTTTAAAATTACTAAATTGGGGCATCTGGGTGGCGGGCTCAGTCAGTTAAGCATCCAACTCTTAATTTCAGCTCAGATCATGTCTCTGGGTCATGAGATAGAGCCCCGAGTAGGGCACCATGCTGAGCATGGAGGCTGCTTTAGATTTTCTCTCTTCCTCTTTTTCTGCCCTTCCCTCACACATGCATGCACACACTCTCTTAAAAAAAAAATATTAAAATTAAATGACTGAATTAGATACTTTATAAAATTGCTGGCTAAGAAGAAACTTTAGTGATCATAAAATCTAATTTTCCTGTCCAGAACTGGCAAATCTACAGAAATCTATAGAAGTTAAAAGTAGATTAGTGGATGCCATAGGCATAGAAGATATGAGAGGCGAGGGAAGGAAAGGTGCCTGCTAAAGATAAATGTGGGGTTTCTTCTGGGGATGATAAAAATTTTCTAAAATTTATTGTGATGGTTACACACCATTGAATTACATCCCATAAATGGGTAAATTTTATGGTATGTGAATATCTCAATATATATCTCAATAAAGCTGTTACCAAAAAAAAAAAAATCTAAATTCTCATGCAATCCCCACTAGAAAAAGTAGAAGGCTAGTCACTCCTTGAAAATTCTCCCATAGCAGTGAGCTGTGGGAAGCAGCTGATGGGATCAGAGTAAGAATGAAGCAAATAAGTAAATATACTAAGAACAGTCCACTGAGAGAGCCTAGAAGCAATGATATCCCAGTAACAGTGAGCACACCAAGAGCCCAGATCTGAGTTTCTAAAGCCATTATCCACTAAAAAGAATCAGGTTCCTTAGCAGAAATAAGTGACTCCAGAGTTGAGACAGGGAAAGTAGACCAGAACATCTTAAGCCAAAAAAAAGAGAGTATTCACAAAATGACAGAAACATAGTAAAAGAACCTAAGGACCACTTGAAAGGATGCCTACTGACCAAATCTGGCACAATATGAGTATTAGAATAAATAAAAGAGATTACAACCATCAATAAACAGGAATGCAGGTAGCAACCCATAATTATATAAATAAACAAATAAGAGAAGGAGTAAGAAAAACTATTTCTTACAGAATGCCACTAATTAACAGGAATTAGGAAAACAGAACAGCACAATTTGGTAACATCATTAGTGGCTGATGATTCGAGTGGGAGTCTTCAAAAGATGCTAAGATTGGTGTGAAGGTTTGAAAAGGAACACATTATTATAATAGCATCAGAATATCACACCACAAAATACTTACCAATTATAAGAGAACAACCATATCTTTAGAGTAGAGATAATACTGGGTATTTACCCCAAAGATACAAATGTAGGGATCCGAAGGGGTACGTGACGTGCACCCCAATGTTTATAGCAGCAATGTCCACAATAGCCAAACTGTGGAAAGAGCCAAGATGTCCATCGACAGATGAATGGATAAAGAAGATGTGGTATATATACAGAATGGAATATTATGCAGCCATCAAAAGGAATGAGATCTTGCCATTTGCAACAACATGGATGGAACTGGAGGGTGTTATGCTGAGTGAAATAAGTCAATCAGAGAAACACATGTATCTTATGACCTCACTGATATGAGGAACTCTTAATATCAGGAAACAAACTGAGGGTTGCTGGAGTGGTGGGGGGGTGGGAGGGATAGACATTGGGGAGGGTATGTGCTATGGCGAGTGCTGTGAATTGTGCAAGACTGTTGAATCACAGATCTGTACCTCTGAAACAAATAATGCAATATATGTTAAGAAAAAAAAAAAAGAAGAAGAAGATAGCAGGAGGGGAAGAATGAAGGGGAGTAAATCAGAGGGGGAGACGAACCATGAGAGATGATGAACTCTGAAAAACAAACTGAGGGTTCTAGAGTGGAGGGGGGTGGGGGGATAGGTTAGCCTGGTGATGGGTATTAAAGAGGGCACGTTCTACATGGAGCACTGGGTGTTATGCACAAACAATGAATCATGGAACACTACATCAAAAACTAATGATGTAATGTATGGTGATTAACATAACCATAAAAAATTTAAAGAAAAAAAAAAGATTAACATCACCAACAGGAGATGGGTAAACACTGTCTCCTAATGAGATGCACAAAGGACACAGCATCATTTCTGTACTACTGTCACATGCGCAAGGCTGGCATCTGATGAGGAAACATCAGAAAGACTCAGGTTGAAAGTCATTCCAAAGAATAAAAAGTTGTACTCTCTCAAAAAAATGTAAAGGTCAGGAGAGTTAGAAAATGCCTTATTGAAGAAAACTTAACGGACATGAGAATTAAATGCAATCTATGATCCTGGATTGGATCCTGAACCAGAACACTAATGGAACTGCTGGTGAAATCTGCATGGAATCAGTGAAGGAATACTAGTGTTATATTAATGCTGATTTCCTGACTTGGACGGTTAGTTAAAGTATGATTATGTTCTTGTCTTACATCATATCTGCATATACTTACACATAGTACTATGTCTGCAACTTGTTCTCAAATAGTACAGAAAAGGCTAATAATAGCCAAAGCAATCTTGAGAAAGAACAAAGCTGGAGGTATCACAATACCAGATTTCAAGATATACTAAGCTGTAGTACATCAAAACAGTATGATACTACCACAAAAAAAACCACAAAAAACATAGGTCAATGGAATAAAAGAGAGAATGCAGCTATAAACTCATGCTTATATAATCAATTAATCTATGACAAAGGAGGTAAGAATATACAAGAGGGAAAAGACAGCATATTCAACAATCAATGGTGTTGGAAAAAATGGAGAGCTTCATGCAAAAAACTGAAACAGGACCACACTTTCTTACACTTTACACAAAAATAAACTCAAAATGGATTACCGACCTGGAAGTAAGACCTGAAACCATAAAACTCCTATAAGAAAACAGAGGCAGTAATCTCATTGACATTGGCTGTAGCAACATTTTTCTAGATATGTCTCCTTGGGCAAGGGAAACAAAAGCAAAAATAAACTATTAGGACTACATCAAAATAAAAAGCTTTTCCATAGCAAAGGAAACCAACAACAAAATGAAAAGGCAACCTACTGAACGGGAGAAGATTATTTGCAAATGATATATCCAATAAGGGGTTAATATTCAAAATATGTAAAGAACTTAAACAACGCAACAGCAAAAAAACAAAATAATCCAATTTAAAAATGGGCAGAGGACCTGATCAGACATTTTTCCAAAGAAGACATCCAGATGGGCAGCAGACACATGAAAAGATGCTCAACATCACTCATCATCAGGGAAATGCAAATCAAAACCATAATGAACTACTACCTTATACCTGGCAGAATGGCTAGAATCAAAAAGATAAGAAACATGTTGGTGAGGATGTGGAGAAAAATGAACCTTCATGCAGGTTGGTAGAAATGCAAATTGGTGTAGCCACTGTGGAAAACAGCGTGGAGGTTCCTCAAAAAATTAAAAATAGAATTATCATATGATCCAGTAATTCCACTACTCAGTGTTTACCCAAAGAAAACAAAAACACTAATCCAAAAAGATATATTGCCCCCTTATGTTTACTGCAGCATTATTTAAAATAGCCAAGATATAGAAGCAACCCAAGTGTCCATCCACAAATGAATGGATAAAGATGATGTGGTATGTATACAAACCACACACACACATACAGTGGAGTAGTACTCAGGCGTAAAAAT